GTCCCGCTCCCTCCAGGAACCAGGGCACTCCTTTCTCCCCACTGACGACCCCTGCATATCCCTCGTCCCTCTTCCCACGCAGATCCAGTTGATCTCGGGGATTGACCGGGAGGAGGGGGGCAGTGCTGCTAATATTCAGGGCAGTCCGTGAAGGGTCTCCGGAAGACCCTTCTCTCCTGTAGGGCGGTGCCCTTCTTGGGGCCCGCGCAGATGCCCCTTGTAGTATCCCTCCCATCCCTACCCGCGGGGGTCACCGAGCCTCGCATCCCATGGCCGTCCTGTCCCGCAGAGAGCACTCGCTCTTGATGTATTGTTCAGCTCCATCTGGGTGGGGGGAAGCGGGCGTGGGCTGGAGCGCTGGAGGGGAGCGCACGGCCTCTACCCTGCGCCCCAGCCCCCGGCGTGTGACCTCGCCCACGTTCGCGCCCGCACCGCTGCGCTCCCGCTTACGCGGAGCCACCCCAGCTGGGATCGGAGCCGGGGCCGGGGCCGGGGCCGGAGCCAGGGCAGCTGCCTGGTCCCGCAGCAGACGGCCCAAGAAGCCTATGTACTTGAGGGCGAGACGAAGGACCTCGTTTTTGCTCAGCTTCCGGTCGGGCGGGTGCGTGGGCAGCAGTTTGCGCAGCTCCGCGAAGGCCCCGTTCACGTTCTGTTGCCGCCAGCGCTCCCGGCTATTGGTGAACACGCGGCGAGCCACCTTCAGGGGCTGGTGACCTGTGAAGAAAAACGGCCCGAGAGGAGAGTCGGGAGGCCAGTGGCTTGCCCCCTGCAGGCTGCAGCGGGCCGAGGACTCAGGCTGCCCAGGCCCAGCCTCCTTGAACCCCAGGCCTCCAGCTCCCTCTCATCCTCGGATGGGCCACAGTTATCCCTGATTCCCAACTTCCAACCCACCCATGTTATTCTTCCTTGCAGGGTATGTGCCAACCCTTCCTGGTGTCCTGGAATTATGTATTAGGGCTTCCTCTTCCCCACAGGCAGGGTCCCTGGGCATATCTAATTCAGAAGTTCTTAACCTTTGTGTCGTGGACCCTTTGTGCAGTCTTCTGAAGCCTAGAGATCCCTTCTCAGAAGGAGGTATTTGAATAATTGAATTTCAGTTAGAGATTAGTGAAAATAAAGATGTATTCCCCCTCCTCTATCATGTACCTTCTAAAATCTACCCCCAGGTTAAGAATCCCTGATGTAGACAATCCTTTCAGGTCATAGAATCACAGCATATCAGGGCTAGAAAGGATAGGTATTCACTTGTAGAGGGATGTTCTTAGTGTGGTGGTCAAGCTCTGTAATTATTGGCTCTATGGTACAGATTCTTGTGTCTCTCAGCAGTGTTATGGGTAACTGGTCTGTACATGAGGTGTCTGTGACTGTATGACTAATTCTGTGTGTGAGTCTGTTCATCCATGCAGTCTCTGAGTGACTGTGGCTGGGCTTGGCTGTCCCTGTGCAGCTGCCACCTGTCCAGGACTGTCCATCTACCTACCCCCTTATCCAGTCAGGTGCCAAGGTAAGATTCACCATTATTTCCACAGCATCCCTGGTATCTGTCCTTTTTTCTCTCCTCATCACTATTAACTTGGTTCAGGCCCATATCAGCTGTCAGACCTGGGCTGTTTCAATAGCCTCCAAATTGGTTACCTTTCTCTTCCCATCTCCAGCCCATCCCTCTGCAGCAGCCAAATGAATATTCCTAGAACAAAAGGTCATTCAATCCCTGCTCAAAATGTTTATTACCTCTAAGAAAACTACTATTCCCTGATCTGACTCGGGCCTGCCTTTTTTATAGACCTATTTCATATAAATGTACATTATGAAGTTGTTCATTTTCCTTCAAATCACCTTTTTTACCTCCTCATCTGTATACATGTTGCATTCTCCCAGTGCAACAGAAACTTCATGAGGACAGGGACTGTTTTCTTTTTGTCTTTGTCTTCCTGGGACCTGGCATACATGTCTTGCATATAGTAGTTGCCTAAAAAAAGTTGAGTTCTCTGTATATGGCTATCACTGTCTGACTGTTTATGTGTGACTGTGTGGTTGAATCTATGTGGTTGTGATTCTTTTTGTGTGAAGCTGTGGCTGTCACTGTCACTGTCTCTGTGACTGTTACTATGTATTCCTGTATCTGGGGTGATTCCTTGTGTATGACTGTCACTGCTGTGTGACTCTCTATGTGACAATACTGGCAGATTTCTCTGTGTACCTCTGGGTGACAGTGCTGAGACTGAGAACTGGGGACCTCCTGGTTCCATTTAAGGGGGAGCCATGCACACCCCTATGGTGGTTTTGCTCAGGAGCTCTAAGGTACACACACAGACACACAGACAGACAGACACACATACACACTTACCTTCATTCAAGTCAGGTTCACAGTGGCTGGGCCGCCGTTTTAGTCGGCTGCTGGGGAAGATGCTGAAGGAGCCAGTGGTGCCGATGTAGACACTGAGAGGGACATGGGGTCACTGAGTGCCCAGACCCTCTCACCCTCCCCTCCCCAGGCCTAGGGGCCCAGGACACCAGGGCAACAGGTTCAGGGTAGGTGAGATGTGCCCCCTTCCCCCCAGTTCCTTTTCCCCTAGAACTAGGGCCCCCTTCCACAACCCTTAGGACGTAGAGCTAGCCCAAGACTGACCTGCTTAGAAAGGGGTGTGGGTGGTAGTGTGTCGGGAGCAGGCCACCCAAGGCCAGTGGGGGTGGGCCAGCTGTCAGGGCAGAAAGCGGGACTAGGGAGGGCAGTGGGGTAGGAGTGGATAGTTCGGTGGTGGCCATGGCTGGTGGTTTGCTGTGGCCCAGGCTGATGACGGGCACATGGGGAGGCAGCTTGGGGGGCGTTGGGGATAAGGCAGGGTGGCTATCATCCCCATCCTGGAGGGTGTCTGGCTCAGGCTCAGACACAGGGGAGTTGCTGCTGGCTGCTGGGGAAGGGGCTGAGCAGGGTAGTGTAGGCACAGCCTCTAGCTTCTCCATCATGGTGTGGCCCAGCTTCACAGAGTCCCCCGGAGGGCACATGGACCCAGAGGATGAGGGCCCCTCAATGGGACTGGTGCTCACCTGCAAGGGGGAAGCAATCAAGAAGGGAATGATGTCTGATGACCTCCATCTTCACCACCTCCCAATCCCTGAGACACTATAGTCAGATCCCAAGCCAACTCTGGAGGTGGGGACCTCTAGAAAAGGGAAAGTGGAAAAGACAGGAGATTCTAAGCCAAAGGACTGGAATTTGAATGCTAACTGGATTACTTACTAGCTGGGCTACTTGGGCAAGTCCCTTCTCTCTGGGCCTCAGTTTCTCCAGCTACAAAGTGAGTTAGACCAGATGATTTTTAAATTCCCCTTCAGTCTGAGATCCTTTCCACTACTTGTATTTGGGGGCCATTGGTCTGGAGTCAGAGGACTTGGATTCTAATCCTGGCTCTGCTATTTACTGCTAGGGCAACCTTAGTGAACCACTTGCATTTCCTTCACCTCAATTTCCTCATTTATAAAATGAGGAGGGCATTTGGACTAGATCTTCTCTCAGGCTCTTCCAGATCAAATTCCTCGGATCCTAGTTATGGTCTAATAAACTTGTAGCTGAGGAGAAACTGGGAAGCCACAGCTGTCAGGTGAGTGAGTGAAAAGTGGAAGGGGTTACCTTGGGCTGAGTAGCCTGAAGGAAAGGATTATAATAATAATATTTATATAGACTTCAAACCTTGACACACATGGTCTTATTGGAGCTTTAAAAGGAGCCTATGAGGTTGGCCTTAGAAATATTATCTCCACTCTACAGATGAGGAAACTGAGGTTCAAAGAGGCTTAGTTCAGACTTGGGTCTGAAGCCAGATTCAAACGATGGAGTTAGTATCTCCTGACTGCACAAAAGAGGGCTCTTTACACTGAGTGGGGGATTGCTTGGGATCTGGGAAGGGCATGGTCCTGTTCTTGGGAGCCTAACCCCAGGGACTCAGACTAGAAACCAGGCACAGCCTCCCTCCTGGGGAAGTAAGAAGGAAGGAATCCTCAGGATCAGCTAGGGTTCTTTCCATTACACCACACTGCCTTTAAGGGCTACTAAATGTGGGAGGAATGGAGAGATCAGGGGGTCACAGGAAGTTGGGGGTCTGCCCCTGAGGTTCATCCTTCCTGTGTGATCTCAGTCAGGCCTGTTCCACAAATCCCTATGCACATCAGTTTTCCCATTAACCAAAGATTTCCAGCTACATGCAGTGTACCCTCTGAGTACTGGGGCTCCCCTGGTTCCCTGCTCCCCAACCAGGGACTCAGAATAGCACACCTGAACCCCAGCAAGAAGCCCTCTCAGGCAAATCTGTCTGGCTTGTGGTTTCCAGCTTTTGATCTTGGGGGTTGATTCTGAGATTTTGGGGGTTGATAATTGGATTTAGCAGTTTCCTTCAGCTGGGTTTCATCTGATCAGACTCTTCTCTGGGTGGGGAAAGGGGCCTTCCCTGGGGGCAGGGCACATAGGTCTCAAGCCCAGGTCCTAGAGGAAGAATCAAGAGCCCAGGGGGAAGGTTAGGATAGAATGCAAAGGAGGTTGGGTTAGCATTTTCTTTGTCCAGGGGTGTGTATGCCAGCATCTGAGGCCTAGGACATTTGAGCCAGGGTCTGAGGGTCCCAGGACATGTGTATCATATCAGGGTCTAAGAGGCCTAGGGTATTAAGTGCCAGGGCCTGAGAGTCCCTTGGCACATGTGTGCCAAAGTCTGAGGGCTCCAGGCCCTGTAGGTCAGGGTCTAAGATCCCAGAATCATCTGCCACCCACTGTGTGCCCCCCCCATCCCTTCCCACTCTTACCCTCAAGCCCCACTGCCTCCAGGATCCTCCAGGGCTGCCCCCTCCAGCCGCTGGGTCTAGCCAGGCTCCCTCCACCCTTGACTCAGTGTGCTGCCCAGAGGAAACGCTGCCTCCTGTGGCCCCGCCCCCATCCCCCCCCAGCCCGCCCTCTTCACCACCCCCTCCTCTGGCGGGTTTCCTCCCCGGAGGCGGAGGATGCTCTGGAGGGGCAGATAAGACCTGGGGACTGCCTGGCCAGGGCTGATAAGGATTCTGGGCTGGTGCCGACCCTGGAGGAAATGGGCAGGGATCTTCAAGCACCAGGTCGCCAAGACCTTGCCCATTTGACTGCTGTCTAGACCTCAGGTGGGAGCTAAAGAACAGCCATCATTATTTCCTGTCTCCTTTGGGGGACCCAGTGTCCTTGGCCCCCCAGAAGATATCAGAGTCCCCCATGATATCTGATTAATGGAGGCATATTACCTGTCCGTGAAACATGTGCACTGTGAAATACTTCCATTTGGAGGTCAGAAGAACCAGGTTCAAGCAGCAACTGGGTCAATAACTGTATGGGGTGTATGACTGTGGCCAAGTGATTTTCTTCTCTGGAATTCTTTCCCCTAAATGAGTCCTTCTGCTCTTCTGTGGAGTTTCTCTCTGTTTCCCCCCTAATTAAAGTCGGGGAAAGGGGAAGGATTACAGATTTGAGAGCTGGAAGAAACCTTAAAGACAAACAAAACTTCTGTCCTCATTTTACAGATGGAGAAACTGGGTGCCAGAGATCTTGTCCAAGGTCAACGAGTAATTGGTAGATCCAGGATTCAAATCAAGGTCATCTGGCCCCGAATCCACTGCTCTTTCCACCACACCAGGCTCCCTTTTGGGGTGGAGGTAGTGGGGGTGGTATAAAATTCTGAGCTGAGGCACCATGAGGCCCTTCCAATTTGGGGAAGTGTCTAAAGAACCTTTACCCCTCCCCGTTCTCTACTTCCCCTCCCCCAATAGCTCTTACTGTCAACTTGAGCCCTTTAGGGCAGGGGGGGAGAGAGGGTTCTGGGATATCTAGTTGTTAGTCTAGCTTATTCCCTAACCCCACTCAAATCCCCTTCAACACTCTCCCCACTACTATGGAGTGACATGGATTTCAGGGCTGTGGATCCAGATGGATGAGGAAGGGCACACTCCTCACTGAGTTGCTGATTCTGTGACTGGGTGTTCAGACACCCTCTTCATAAGCCTCTGTTCCTCTTTCTTTAAATACCCTCCCTTTCCCCCAATAAATCTCTCCTCCCTAGTATCCCAAGTTCCTCAGGCCTTTGGGCCCTGAACACTGGGGTGTTCCTGGGAAACTTTATTACTGGGACTTTATTCTCCTCTCCCCCTGCCCAATTCCATCCTCCACCCTGTCTGTTGTGACTGGATTGTGGGGGGATCCGCAGGGGGCCAAAGTGACCTCAAAAGCTGTCCCAGGAGACTCTGGAAGCCCCTGGGCAAGGATCTGGTGTTCCTGGCAATATTACATTCCTCAACAACTGCCCCCTCCCACACCCGTGATAATGGGGAGAAATTACATGGGGTCACTGAGGTTACACCATTTGGGAACTAGGTCTTTTCTAGCTTTCCACTTCCCTCCCTCCCCACAAGGACACTTGGATGGGAACTCATGGGAACTCATGTCTATTCCCCCCCCCCCAGCTTGGAGTTAGAAAACATCCACTTAGTAGTATTTTATTTTTTCCAATTACATGTAAAGATAGTTTTCAACATTCATTTTTATAACATTTTAAGTTCCAATTTTTTTTCTCCCTTCCTCCCCTCCCCCCTCCCCTCTCCCCATGATGGCAAGCAATTTCATATAGGCTATAGATCAGAAAACATCAGTAGATAGGTGGACAGACAAACTGATACATAAAAGACAGTTGGAGAAGGCTTATAGAGACAGCATGGGATAAGTGCTTCCTTCTCTTCCCCCATACAGAGTTGGGGTGGATGGGGAAGGAGCCCCAATGAGGAGTTTTTCCAGGGTATCTTTGTCTACCACCTCTGACCTCCAATCCCCCCCTCTTCTAGCTTCAAGAGCTAAAAGGGAACTTCTATTCCAAATTCAAAATTCATTTGTTAGCTAGGGAAACTAAGTCTAAAAGAGACTTACCTAAGCTCACACAAGATGAGGATGTTTGAGCCCAGGTCTTCAGACTCCAAATTTGGTAATCTTCTCACACAACCGGGTTTACTCTAGTCCAGCCTCATCTCATCTCAAGGAAGAAGGAACCTCAGAAACACACTTTGAAAAAATGTTGGACAATATGAATGGAGGTGCTTTTCTCTGGATTGAAGGCAGGATCCAGGGATAGGATGGAAGTAGGGGAGTTGGAACTGGGCAGTCCCCAGAACAGACATCCCATTTTTGACTCCCTCACCTCAAATTACTTGGGGAAAGTTTCTTTGTCAAGTTGTTCTGTGATTTGGGGAAAACTCTTTGAATTTCAGGCCCCACTTCCTGGCACAGATTATCATGGGGGGTAATGGGCTGGAATCTTGTTGGGGTGTAGGGGAGAAGGGGTGATGATGCCCAGTCACTGACACTATTATTTGCATAGACCAATGTCCCAAATATTCATACATACTGATACAGATACACACATATACATACAAACCTACTCAAACACAGTCACATGTGAAGATACATTTACACACACACACACACACACACACACACACACAGAGTGTACATGCCTTTATAGACAATTCAGAGGCAACTTGGAATTGTGAATCAAGGACCAGTCTTGCAGTTGGGAAAGGTGCTGTGTCTGACCCAGTTATGTGACCATGACTTGCCTACAAAACTTTGCAGTGCCCACAGGTAACTCTCTCCCTAATGATTTCTATATTGGGAGTTCTCTACGAAGATGAAATCACAGGTCTGGAGCAAAATATATATGCGTGTGTGTGTGTATATATATATACACATACATATATACATATGTATACACACACACACACACATATATATATATATATATATATATATATATATGGATATATGGATATAAATCCCACACACATATACCTACACACAGGCAATTGAGTGGCAGTGTGGTTTGGTTGATAGCAGGCCTGGAAGCCAGGAAGACATGGGTTTAAATCTTGCTTCTGTCACATCTTAGCTATGTGACCCTGAGCAAGTCACTTTTTGAGATTATAAATTGCAAAGGCAGGCAGGTACCTGTACTGGTAGGGTGAGTGTCCTCACCAAGGAGTTCCCTGTGCCAAAGAAATCACTGGAGATCTTAGGGATTACACAGTCCCCTCCTTTTACAGATGGGGAAACCAAGGCCCAGAAAGATAGTGGCAGGCATGAGATAACTCTTTCTTGCCAGAACCCTGACTTGTACTCACTGACTACTGAAAGAAAAACAAGAGCCCAAGCCGGTACACTTCGGGAGGCAGTGGCTTATGGCTCGCCATCAGGCCCACGAGGTCCCACAATGGGGTACAGAGTCACAGAAACATTCAGAGCCAGGGGTTCAGAACTGGAAGGGACCTTGGGAGAGGTCATGTGGCCCAACGGTTCTCACATTACAGACGGGGAAACTGAGGGCCAAAGCAGGGGAGGGAGTCTGCACGCACGTGCAGAGTCTCTGTGCCCCCTCACCCCCAGTCCCCGGGGCGCAGGGCTGGGACTTTTCTCCCTCCTGGGGCCGAGCACCACCTCCCTCTATTCCTCCCCCCACCCCCCATCTCTCCTCCCCGCGGGGGCGGAAGCCGGACAGGAAACACGCGTAGGCTGCATCCGCGGCCCCGCCAGGTGTTTCCTGCTCGCCGGCTCCCGGACTCGGCCCAGAGCGCGACCCCTCCCCCGCCCCGCCCCTGCCAAGCCGCTCGGGGGCCCCCGGCCTGGAGCGAGAGGCTCAGCCCGCAGCGGGGCACCCCGCCCCCTCCCACGGGGAGGGTGGGGGTGGGGATGATGGGGGGGGCGGAGGAAGTGTGAAAGCCGGGTGGCTGGGTTGGAAGAGAAAGTGACCCGAGGTCCACAGAACACGTGGTTGGAGCTGTCCAGTCCCTTCCCAAACCCCGGCCCCCCAGAGGTGTGGGATGGATAAGAGACGTGTGGGTGAGTGCGTGTGTTTGTGTGCTGGAGGGGGTGTCGCCAAAGGAACTAGAGGTGGACCAGTAAGTGCACCCTCCTTGGTCTACAGGCAGGGAGGGTGTTCGACAAAGTGGTCGTCCAGACAGTCAAAGGCAGGGGCAGGATTCGAATCCAGATCCTCTGACTCCAAGGCACCCCGTACATCAACACTGCCTCCTCATGGCACCGCCCGAATCTCCGAGCGCCCCCAGGACGAGCAGAAGCGGAGGTGAAGCCCCCCCCCGGGGGGGACTGGGCGAGCAGCTGACACCTCGGGAGAGGGCTTCGCGTCCCGGGCCCCGCTCCGCCGCCAAGTTCAAAAGCGCCTGCGGCTCAGTCTCCCCACTGCCCCCGTGTGGCCAGCCGTGGGAATCGGCCCAGACACGTGCACTCCGTGGCAGGGATTCCAAATGCTCGCTCTCCCCCATCCCCAACTCACACAATAGACTCTCCCTCCACAGATTTTCAAACAGCGCCCCCTACAGCCTCCCTCCAGCCTCCTCCCGTCCCCAGCGCATTATCCATTTGTCTGAAAGGCATCACCAATAGGACGTCCCAGCTAGCATCTCCCCAGACCCATCCTGTCACCTCAAGTCTCCCATACCTCACCTAACCTCACACCTTATTAAGAAAAGTCATTAAAAACCCCATTCTCACCACCTCTGATTAGGTGGCCCCTCTCTTGGCCAAGCAAGATGCCTCTCATTTGTCCTGTGAGACCCCAGGATTATACATCTAGAGATGGGAAGGGGCCTCAAAGAACATGCTAGCCCATCCTACCCACCTCTGTCCCCCTCATTTTACAGATGATGAACTGAAGCTCGAGGAGGTTAAGTGAACTGGTCCACGGAGACTCTAGAGGCCAAATCTGAACTGGGGTCCTAGATATCCTCTTCTGGTTTTTACTGGAACCCTTCCAATAACAAGGAACTTAGTACTTTATGTGGAGTCAGGGCTCTTCCCACAGCACCAGGCGCCCTCACAATCATCTCTCTGATCTTCACTCTCCCCATCTCTTAGCTCATTCATGGCTGCCAACAGACATGGCCAGCTTCCTTCAAGGCTCAGGCTCTTGCTGCCCCTTGAAATGACTCTGGATTTACTTATGAGAGAACTTGTCTCCCCCTAGTAAAATGGCAGCTCCCTGGGGGAGGGGGACTGTTTCATTTTGTCTCTGTATCAGAATAGCTAATGCTAGACTCTGGCAAAGAACCCTATGTTCTAAGACAAAAAGGCCCCAAGATAAACCTACTCCTCGGTCTCCAGAATCCCCCTTCACTGACAGAGGGTACCTTCTCAGACTCTCAAAGAGCCCACCCTCCCCATCCCAGAATCAGAGCTTCATCACCCAATGATTTTCAGAGAGATCCTCCTCCCACATTTTCAGATCCATGCACCTCTCCCCCCCCATCCCACCCCTGTTAAACCCTTCAAAGGTCCAGCAAGATCAACTGATGCCTCACTCTCTTGTGATCGGGAAGAGAATTTAACTTTATTATCTGAATCCAAAGTGGGTAGGGTAGGGGCAGAGGCCCTTAAGGCAAGGAACCTGGGCTGGGCTCAGGTTGGATCGAGGGTTCCTCAGGGCTGTGAGAGTAACAGCATTCATTTCCCAAGAGGCAAGTTCCCTGGAGGGAGACAGGAACGGGGTTAGCTCAGGGACAGTCCCCCTAACACTGAAGGGTAGAAAAAAGAAGAGATTAGAAGGGAGATGAGAGGAAGAGGGGTGAGAGCAGGGAAAGCACGAGGCAGGAGGGAGGCCTCACCTGTTTGAACTTCTTGCAAGGGAAGGCCTTGAGCTTGTCAGTTCCCTGGTCCTTACTGGGTTCCTTCCGTTTGTTTTGTAGCTGTTGCTGCTTCTCTGCCAGCTCTAAGGGGGCTTTCCCCCTGGGAGCAGTAACTGACCTAAGCCCCTTCCTCAGTGAAGCCCTTTCAGCTCCTCACCCCATCCTCACCCCTTTTACTGTGCTCTCCCCTCTCCAGCCCCAAACATCCTCTTACCCTGACCGGGCTCGGGCCTTTGGCCCCCAGTTGGCTTCGGGATTAGCTTGGAATCGCTGGAGTCCCTGCTGTCGGGAACTGGGATTAGCATCATCCCGGATGGAGAAATTTGCCTGGAGCCTTTAGGACAGTGCGGAGAGTGGGGACAGGGTTGGGGGGGTGGTGTGTACACACGGGTCTGCCGGAATGACTGTGTGTCTGGGGCCATGGCATCTCATGGAGGACCCGAGATCCTTGGGGGCTTGTTCAGTTTTGTCTTGCTATCCCATGTCCACCACGATGTTTGCTGAATTGAAGGTATGTCTCATGCCATGTGCTCTTATCTGCACCCCCCCCCCATACCTGGGCTCGACTTTGAGGATATGGAAGGCTGGGCTGGTCTCTGAGAGGCGCTCTCGTTTCACTGGGTTCTCTTTCTCCTGGAGGTTGGGGGAGGGAAGGAGATCAGGGCCAAGTGGTCCCTCGGGTGTCCCTAGCCTCAAACTCTCATTCCCGCTGCTCACCCAGCAGCGCATGATGTCCCAGAGCACTGAGGGTGGGACGTCTGTCTTCACAGCATTCTTACAGGCATGAGAGAGGCTCACTCGGTAGCCAGCATGTAGGAGTGCAGACCTGGGAGCCAGAGACATATGGCTACAGAAAGCTCCTGATCCCGCCTTCCCCAGAGGGCACCGGACAGAGGGACTGTGCATGCGTGTGTGTGTGTGTGTGTGTGTGCGCGCACGCACGCACACACGCATGTGTACATGCGTTCATACGTGCTTGTGACTTCAGCCACCTGTGCTCTCACCTCCTCCTATACACCCATGTGTCTGTATGTATGAAGCCTGTGGTCTCATGTGTATCCATACCTGTTTGTGTACATCTCTGCCACGGGAGCTGTGTCTAGACATGCCTGTGTATTTGTTTGTCAATGCACACATCTCTGGGCCCCTGTGCTTCCACATGCTCCCCTTGCATTTGTGGGTGCTTTCCCCACTCCATCCCCACCATTATGTGTGTCTATCTGGGCTCATGTCTGTGGATGTGTCCTTTGGTCCCACCTCTAGGGCTGGCTGGGCTGTGTCTCTTACCGAAGCTGTAAGAGACTAGGTGTGTTGCAGTGAATGGTACTGCTCAGCTGGTCCAGAGTGTAGTACAGGGGGACGTCTGGCAGCTCCTAGCAGCAGAGGGGTCACACAATGCGTAGGGATGGGAGGAGATGTGAGCGTGGTCCTCCCCCCAAACACCCTGGCCATGGCTCCTGGCCCCCACCTCAGTGACCATACTAAGGACACCCCGGATCCTTGCTGATGTCCGGAAACGCCCAGGGTTCCTGCTGATGGCAGCCAGGACCTGACCCACGAAGTCCAGATCGTGGATTGGCTCTGCCCACAGAGGGCCACCCAGCTGCAGACACAAACATGTGGGGAATGAGAACAATGACCACTCTACCACCATGCCCTTATCATTGGCCCAGCCCAACTGGTGACCCACCTGATGTCGCTGCCCACAGTGCTCACACTCAGACCCCACTGGGGGTCCTGTGGCCGCAGAGAATTTAACACTGTGTGGATATGAGCAGATATGGTGAGAGTGGTGAAGCAGACATACTCCTTTCTGCCCCTTACCTTGACCTTACTTCCCGGCCCAGGTCAGTTCCCTCTGGCCCTCCCCACCACCCAGTCCAGGCTGATCCCTTCCTGCTTCTGTGCCTTGGGCTTGGCTGCTTCACAACTCCTAGACTCAGTTTCCCTGCTCTGGGCTCTGGCCTTCACATACCTTCCCAGCTCTCATTACTTGGTTCCTGACAATGGTCATGGCTTTATTCTTCACACTCCCTATCTCATCCTGCCTCATATCCCTGGGGCCCAGCCCCAATCCTCAATAAAAGCCTCCCAGTTTACCGTCCACCATTGTTCACTGCCTTGCCCAGTCTTTGCAAGTGGAAGGAACTGCAGCCAACACACTGGAACACGAATGCCTGCTTACTAGGGACAGATAGGTGGGGGGAAGAAAGGGGTTCTCAGCCAGGCCACCCTGCCCATTCTAGTCCCCTTTCTTACCAGCCCACAGACTACCCTCTTCCAGGAAGCCCTCCTGGATTCACACTGGCCCACCCTGTTCCTTCTGCACAGAGAACCATGCCCATGACTCCAGGGGTTCTAGATAGCCCAGTTAGAGGGTGCCTGACCTGGCTGAGGCTTTGACTTTGGCCTGGCCTGTATACACACGAACGAAGACTCGGATGTAGAAGTCAGCGCTGATACTGAGCAGGGGGACAATATATCGTTGATAGCAGTTGGCCCGAAGGTCTAGGCTATGCAGCACGATTCTTAGTGCCTAGAGGAGGTGTTATCAAAGGGATCATGGGATTCCCAGTGAATCAGTCTAATTGAATCTAACCCTTCTTTTCTATAGATGAGGAAGATGAGGAGAGAGATAGATGACTTTCATACAGTCAAGTAATGAGTAAATGGCAGTCAGGATTTGAACCTAGGTCTTCTAGGCTGAGACTTGAACATCCATTTATCACTCTTTTTAATTACACCAAGAGTCCTAGAACCATAAAATGCTCAAAGGGGATTGAGCCAACCTCCTTTCTGTACACTTCCACTTCCTTTAATGAAATGACTAAATGAAGGTGAGTCCAAGTCCTCAAGGGTAACGAGGACACCTCCAATGTCACATAGGTGACATTCCAGCTGAGATCTTCTGAATTCTATATGCATGTTCTTCCTACTAAGCCTGGGAGAAGGCAAATATATAAAGAGCGGAGGAAGAATCTGAACCCAGCTCCTCCGGCCCTACCCTAGGTTCTTCCTTGTAGATGGCCACCCCACTTCCTCCCCTCAGCCCTGACACTTCTGAGTTTCCCTTTTCTGTATTGTCTCCCCCATCAGATTAAGTTCCTCGAGGGCAGGGATTGTCTAAAGCCTTTCTTTTTAACCCCGGCACTGACACAGTGCCCACCACATAGCAGGTGCTTAATAAATGTTGACTGAGCCTGACTCTGAATTATTCCCAGACCCAGAAGCACAGGAGGAGGTGGAAGGCTAAGCTACCCCTGGAGCCCTTGCCATTTCATTTTTTTGGCTAGGCAATGGGGTTAAGTGACTTGCTCAGGGTCACCCAGCTAGTAAGTGTTATGTGTCTGAGGGCAGATTTGAACTCAGGTCCTCCTGAATCCAGGGCTGGTACTCTATCCACTGTGTCACCTAGCTGCCCCCAGCCCTTACCATTTCATGACAGGCTTTGCTTTTGATGGACATGGCTCCGTATTTGCTATAACATGTCTCGCTGCTGTTCCCTGCCATCACAGCCATGTCAGTGCAAGTCACACACAGCAGACCTTGGGGGCATTGGAGAGATTGAGAGAGAAGGGTCACAGACTGGGCTAGAGGCTGGCTTTGACAGGCTCTAGAACTGAGAACTTTACAGATCCTTTAATTCAATCCTTTAATCCCATCACGTTCAAGGTCAGGGAACCTGGGGTGAGAAAGGGCCTCTTCTCCCTCTCTTGCTCTGTTACCTCCTTCAGACACAGCCTGCACTGCAGCATCTAGGAATGTGGCTGGGCTTCCATAAGGGTCTAGGTCAATGACATCAAATCGCTGAGGCCCCCTTTGGTGCTCATACATCAACAGGCTGGGAGAAAAGGCACATGATGGTCACCTCAGGCAAGCCCAGGCTCCCTGGCTCCCTCCCCACCAAAGTCTCTGGCACTCATACCGAGCATCAGCTAGATTAGGCTGAACCAGGTGACTAACATTGTTTAGCTGGATATTGCATCGTATGAGGTCCACCGCCCGGTCAGAGGCATCATTTGCTATCACAGCTCGGAGGCCTGGGACCTCCTTGGCAAACCGGATGGAGCGAAGGCCTGATGCTGCCAAGCCCTCCAGCACATGCAACCCCTCCTAGGGGGAGACAAGGTAAGTCAAAGGGCAATCTCCCTCATAATCTAACGACCTGACCTCCCAGACTTCTTCTACCCATAAGCTCCAGAGGGGTTCCCTGTTCCCATAAAGCTGAAGGACAGACCTTTGCCTCCCTTTGCCCTCCCAACCCCCATAAAATCCTGGTCAGCCCCACCTCACAGACGTTCCCCACAGCTGCTGTCTGGGGCTGGTCCCTGGGACAGGGCTCCATGCTTCCCTTCTCCGATTCAGCCAGGTTCACAACCACCTTCTGAAGCTTCTCCTCACCTGGTACCTCAACTATAGTCACCCATCCCCAAACCATCCTGGTGTAAGGGATGATCTGCCTCTTCATCCCCCCTGCCCCAAGGGAAGTCCCCACACCCCTCCCCCCAGGGAAGCCCCCACATCACTCCTCCCTCCAAGGAAAGTCCCCACACCCCTCCCCTCAGCCCTGTCTTCCAGGTATCTGGGATCACAGTGACACAGAACTTTTCCAGGAAGGCTTTCCTGATCGCCAATGAATACCTAGACTCCAGACATGGGAAAGACATGGAAGACCCACCCAGACCTATTCTAAAGTCCACCCAAAAGGAAAACTCCCAGAGACATGAGACAGCTTAAGAGTGTAACCTATCTCTGGTCGATCATGAGGGGTGGGTAGGGAATTAGAGAGGAAGAAGGTGTTACTAGGAAGGGTCTCACTCTGAATTCCTTTGGACAAGAGCTGTATCCGAGCAAACTCTGTAATGACGGCACATCTGAGGGATTGGAGTACAGTAATGAGCATAGGAACCCTGGACCCCCATCCCAATATCGGCCTGGGATCTGCTTCTGGTATCAGAAGGGGGCAAATCGGTCCCATTGACCACATGCTGATTTGGGGACCCCCAGATTCCAGTCCCTGGTCTGTCTGGGATTTCCACTCACGTTAGGTCTCTGTTGAACTCCTGAACTGGATTGTAAAATACTTCATTGCTGTTGGGAAAAATAATCCTGGCAGCTCCCTCGGAGATCACCGTTTCCCCATGTTCTGCCCCAGGTTGTGGCTGCTCTGAATGGGTACCATTCTCCATGTCAGCTGTTGTGGGACCTTTGCAGGGAGGAACTTTTGTCCCCTCCATAAAACGGGCTTGGCAGAAGCTTCGGAAATGGTTCTGGATGCTTCGGATGTCAAGTTGGAGCCACAGAGCAGCCCGAAACGCCATCTAGCGGGGGCTCTTGCTTGAGTGGGGACGGAAGAAATAACAGAAGTTTTAGTGACCAGAGAACCTTAGATAAAGCTATTCTGCCCAATCTCATGGTCCCAGCACCCCACTTTCTCATGCTCAGAGACCATGGGCCAGGGCCCTTTTGCCAGTGCCTCGTTATGCGACTGTGGAAAGTAACTTAACCATTCTGGGCCTTAATTTACCCATTTGTAAAAAAAGAATTGTAACCGATTAAATCGCAATTGGGCCCCCAATTTCCTACTGCCCAGAAGTCGGACGCCGCCCTGAGCTACCCTTTTGTGGGCAGCCTCTAGTCTCAAGGTAGCGCTTGGTGCCACGCCCCCATGGGAATTGGGCTTCAGAGAGCAACCGGGACTTCCCTCCGGGGTGGCCACCCACCCCAACAGGAAGGCAATATCGGAGCCCGAAACCTGGGACAGCTCCCTGTCAGCAACTCCCGGACCCTGCTGGATCGGGCCGCGGCTCCTGGTCTGCGCCATTCCTCCTCATACCGGAGTCTTTCTTACCTTTTCGGTAGCAGCAGTAGCAACAGCAAAGCAGAACACTTGAACAGAACACGTTTCTGAAGTTACCTCTTAGGCGTCGCCATGTTGCCCCGAGAGAGCAAATGCTCAGGTGACCCTATCAGCCAATCCCAAACAACGCCTACGGAATGATGGAAGGGACAAATTTTACTTGAAGAAGACGAGCGAGACTTTGCGGGGCCCGGCCGGGGGAGGTTCTGAAGTGAGTGAGAGTAGTTGGAATGTGGCTCAGCCACAACCCAAGCCTCTACCTCTATTCATTGACTATTAGAGCTGAAAGGGAGCTTAAGGATCGTGTTGTCCAATACCCTTATTTTAAAGGTGTAGAAACTGAGGTTTAACGGTGAAAGAGAGAGTTTCGAACTGAAGTTTCTTGACTGTGTGCTTGCCCGAGCAAACTTGTGGAGAACCTGCTTTGATGCCAGGCCCATGCCGGTAACTGCTTACTAATTATGCCCTACCTTCACACGTTAGAAGTTTTCAAAGCACTTTGCACTAATTCGATAGACCACAATCAATGTCAACTGACATATTATTTGCCTTTTAAATGCCTATTAACTGCTGGGCATTGGAGATACAAAGAGGGGGAAAAACATTCTCTTACCCTAGGGAGCTAATGTTCAAACCCAAAAACAGACAGGAAGAAAGGCAACTATCACTTCTAAATTTTACAGGTTTAAAAACTGAGGCCCATAGGCATTAAAATCCCTCACTGAGTCCCAGTGGAAGCTGGTCCTAGAAGAGAAAATATCTAACCTATAAAGTGCTTTTAAGCTTTGCCAAATGCTTTATATATTATCTTGTTTGACCCTTACTACAACCCTCAGGACTGGTAAATTTGGTATCTGTGACTTAGTTTCTCAGGTAAAGGGAACTGAGTTCCCTCTTCCCCCTACGAAAGTGAGGTAATCGGAGGGACAAACCCCCTCTCACTTTCCCTTGACCTCCCAAAGATTGCCAACTATGTAGTTGGGGAAGGTGATAGCCCCAGAAGAGTTCCTTCTCAGGATAGGGCTTACTCAGCAGGGTAGCCAGGCGAGAGGTGCCTAGTGGGTCTCCGAGAACCCTTTCCCAAGCCTATTTTCAAAACCCTGGAAGGACACAGCAGGGAAACATTCCAACGTGTCCTCTCATTTTAATATGGCCGTAGCTCCTCCTCCATTTTACAGGTGAGGAAACTGAACCTCAGAGCAGGCCAATGCCTCACATTGTGCCTGAATGCCAGAGTTCGAAAACATTTTCCCCAAAAGAGGATTGCAGTTGTGATTGGTCATTACCATCTGCCCTTGGAGATGCTTCCTTTGATTATATCCCTCCTCTTCCACCAAAATCCTTTTTCATTGGTAATGCCTATTCCCTTTCCCCTTTTAAGAGTTTGGAGGTAAAGCAGAGGAAGAATCTTGTCCCACCCCTTATTTCTTTCCCTTCCCCTTCCCCTTCCTTTTCCCCCTCCCCCACAGGCGGAGGGATAAGGAGAGGGGGAGGAGCGCAGGCATCCTCGGCGCTCAGCTGGTCAGGTCTGCCCCGAGCACTGGTTGGGCGGGGGGAGGGGGCGGGAAGAGAAGAGAACGTCCGGCCCATCTCGGTACCCACAGTCACAGCAGCGGCCGTTTTTTTTTTTTTTTGGCCGTTGCCGCCGCGGCGATCGTGTGCTCTGGGCTCGGCTGAGGCGGCCTGGGCCGACAATGAATGGCCGCCGCGGCTGCCGCTGCTGCTTCTGCTGCTGAGGAGGAGGAGACGGAGGAGGAGGAGGAGGAGACCCGGACCGGGACCGAGCCCGAAGCAGCAGCGGCGGCTGTGGGGGCTGAGACGAGGGCGCGAGGCGGGCGCGGGCCCGTGGCCCCAGAGCCTGGGAGCCAGAGAGGCCGGCGCAGGGCCCGGCCCAACACAGCGCAGCCCAGCCCGGCCCGTCCCGAGCCGGCGCAGCCCCGCTGGCCACCCCGGCCCCGGTCCCGGCTCCGGCTCTGGCTCCGGTTCCAGACAGGTGAGCGAGCGAACTAGCGAGCATGGCACAAGCCCTGACCCCAAGCCCGACCCAGACCCCGGCCCCCGACCAGGGCCCGACCCTGGGACTTCGGCCTCGGACCCAGACCCCAGCCCTTGTCCTCGACCCAACCCCTGCCCAGACCCCGGCCCCGACTCTGACCCCAGACCCTCAGACCCCGGTCCCATCCCGTCTCAGCCGGGTCTAGACCCCAAGTTTCGTCTTAACTCCTGTTCACGTCCCACCCAGACTCAGCCCTGCTCCATCTCGGTCCGTCCCTTGTCCCCCCTCCTCCAACTCAGTTCTCTAAGTAAACCCACCTTCCAAGCCTGGGGCCCAGCTCCTCTCCCCACCAAGGTCTAGACTTTCTCATCTGCCTGGACCCTCCATCCCCAGGAACTTTTGGTGACTCCTTCCCTTTCGGATTTATCCCCCTTTGCGCGTTTCGCGTTTGCAGACCTGCTCCCTCTCCTCTCCCCTTTAGTAATCTCCCTTCTAAAATCCTTTGCCCGACCCTTCTTTTTTTCCCTGGAGTTTGGGGGAGGGGGCTAGTCCTGGAAAAAAACCCTCTTCCTAGCCCTAGGTCTTTTCTCCTCCTCCCAACCACTTCCCTGCCCTCGCTTCGGCAAATTTAAGTTGATAGGTGGAGGTACCTTGTAGGCTGTATCCCCAGGTACCTCCTCGACCCTCCCCCTCCTCTGCAGCTCCACCCCTCCAAAGCCTTGCGTGGCCTGGTAATCTTGGGCAGCCCCTTCCTGGCGCCCTCCCCCCCTCCAGCTGAGGAGTGACTCGGGTATCCCAACCCTTCTCCCTCTCTTTTCTTTCTCAGTGCTCTCCTCCCCTGCTATAGCAAACAAGGTTCAAGGGAGGGGCCTGGTAAAGCAAACTTCGGGGTGGGTGGGTAACCCCGGTGATCCTTCTCTCCCTTCCCCACTGGGAGTTGCTGGGCAGCTGTGTTTGTCGAGGGGAGGGAAGGGGGCAATCTAGGCCATGTGCTTTCAGAGATGGCTGTGAGGCCTTGTAGGGATTGGTGACTTCTTCCCCAAATTGTTCGAAGCTTTTGGGAGTGGGGGGAGAGCCTAGAATGTACTTGGGGGGGGTGGTGGAGATGACAAAGCAGTGAATTTAGTGCCCTGATAGAAATTAAAAGCACTTGGGACACAGATGGCAGGGCATTAGAACAGGCTTCCCCCCCCCCCCAACTCTTCTTCCTCCTCCTTATCCCAGGTGTAGCCTCTTCTCTCTGTCCTTCCCGCTTCCCAGGGCTGGTTTCTCTCCTTCCCTGGCTCAGTGCTGGCTATGGCTCTGATTTTGGCTTTGCTAGCTCTCGAAGCTGTGTTTCTTTGCCTTGTTGGGTGCCGGCTGGTTGGGTGGGTGGCATGTGGGCAGCTTTAGAAACAGCCTGGAACACCTAACGAAGGCATTTTGTTTTCTAAGGGGGTGGCCCCAGGGTAATTGTCCCTCCCCTTCCCTCAACCCCCACCCAATAGAAAAGGTTCTTGGGAGGGCCTGCCTGGCCTCCTGCGAGGAAGTGATAGTTTGTCCCTCCTGTCTGCCTTGGGATTGGAGGGCTGGAGTGCAGCTACTTGGACATCTTTTGCCCAGTGCCAGGGGCCCTCAGTTCCATTCAACAAACAGTCAGCATGTTCTGTGTGCTTTGCACTTCCTTCCTTAGCTCAGATTTCTTGGAGTTTTCTGTTTTTTGCTTCTTGGGGCTGGAGAAAAGGGTGTGTGTATAGATTTGCTTGCCTTTCCAACCTAGGCTTCAGTCTTTTCCAAGGAACCTGCAGGTTAAGGAATTGGGGAGATGCATGTATTGGTGCTTAGTTATGAGTTAGTGGTTGCTTAATTCTTACCCAATAGAGTGAGTCTTTGTCATAGGGAGGCTGTCCCTTGCCTCAACCAGTTGAGCCCTAGGATCACCCTATGGAACTAACCAAGGGTGTGGTCTGCAGGCTCTCTTCAAGCATAGCAGCTCCCCTGCTGAAGGCCTCTGATAACTGAATTGGGTCTAAAAAGGGGTTGGGGGTAGCCCTCGTCCACCCTTTGAGTATACCAGGGATGCTTTCTCATTGATAATTCTGCCAGCCCAGTAGGACATTAAACATCAACTGTGGGCTGATTTTGGGCTTCTATATGAAGAATTACCTTGGGGAGCAGTGATTAGATTTATTCTTCTTGGTCCAGAGAGCAAAGCTAGCAGCACCAGATGGTATTATCAGAAGGGTAAATTTAAGTTTGATATAAGGAAAAATATAGAAATTAAGAGAATACAGAAATTGTTCCAAAGTGGAATGGGCTGCCTTAGGAGCTACTGAATGTTCCTCATCATTGGAGAATTATCTTAAAGAAAGTTTGTATGCCTACTTTGGTGGCAGAGGGGAGAGGAGAGGGGAGTGTTATAGAGCAGTTCCTGGTTTGAGTTGGTCTGCCTGATCTCATAGCTCCATTTTACCCATTTTCCCCTTTCTCTATTCTTTAGTAGTTGAAGGTGCTAGGTTTTCTTCCCTGTATAGCCTTCTTGGGATGGAGCTGGACAGCTTTGTATCGTATGGTTTGAAGATAGGGAAATCACCACTGGCATATGCTGTCCAAGCTTGCCCAGATTCCATACCGAGCACTTACTGTGTAAGAAAAGGGGATCACCACAGAAGTAGAAGGCTGGGTCCTTTCCCTTTAGGAGCTCACACTCTAGGGCCAGAGAATACTTAGGAAACCTATAAGGCCTTCCCTGACCAAGAGATCAGTGAATGTCAAATAGTAGATCTCCAGGGCATGCAGATGTGCTGAAGAGTTGTAGAGGAGAGGGGATAGAGGCTTTTCCCTGGACTTTAGAAGGGAGCAGAAGGGAGAATGTTTCTTTTGGGAAGCAACTGAGTCTCATCTCCACAGCATAGGCTGTCAGGCAGGGTCATTTGACCATAGTATTTGTCTGTCCCTTGGCAGCTTCAGAAGCCATAACCTTCCAAAGATTGCTCACCCTGGGCTTGGGCTAGGGGCACTTCTGCTGTCAGGAAACAGAGCAGGGGCCTACTTAGCCTTTGAGCTGAGGGGTAAAGGTACCAAACCCCTTCCTTCATACCTTGAGGATCTAGGGTATTGGAAGAGAGAAAGAGAAGAAGGCCTTTCTTTCCCAGGCCCAGTTCTGATGGTCTGCACTTAGCTCCTGCCCCAGAGAAACCTGTAAAGACCAGGTAGCCCTAGCTTCCGTGGTCTTTGGCTTGGTGATAAGTGTCCAGAGTTCTGGAAGTTGGGTGAATTCTTTTGTCTCTAGGTTCTGGTTATTGTAAGAAGCAATAGCCTGAAGATATGTGGGAGACAGGTTTAGTGTTTGTATTTGTATTTGCTTCTGAAGGGGATCTGAGCCTGGTCACACTGCCCCAGGTTAGAAGACAACTAACTACTGAATCTGCTGCTTGGTCAGGGACAGTTCACTCAGAGCTTTACTCTTCCACCAAGATGTTCTTAATAGTTTTCTAGTTCCTTCCTTTCCTGATGATCTTACCCAGCTGTTATCTAGAACAGGGAGCCCCAAGGCCTGAGCAAAATGCCAGGTTGGGCCAGTTCTTCCAGGTTTAATGAAAGGTTAGAAACAGGCCCCCCCCCCATCTGATTGTTGGAAACCTATGCCCAGTATCTTCCACACATCAGCCAGGCAGCCTGCCTTTGGAGGCTCTCCTGAAACCTCTTCTCCCTTTGGGGAGCAGCTGCATTCTGGCCTCACCCTCATCTTGGGGCTAGAATGAACTATTCCCTTCTAGGAGGTGAGGAATCATTCCCTTCTTTTCAGTTTCAAAAACACTCCTGCTACAAGGGAGTAGCGAGGGCCTATGGCTGTGATGGCAACTCTGCTGAGTTCTACCTAGGGTGCAGTTTAGGGCAGCATTGCTCTATTTCTAGAACTCTTGAATTCAGTCCCCAGCTTTATCTGGGGTAGCAATGGGGGCTGAGCTCCTAAGGTGGGAGGCCGTGTCTTTGTGCATGTGTGGGGTGAGGTGGAGGTGGAGAGGGAGAGGGAGCTGTCTTTGGTAGTTGTAATAACAATGATTTGGTCAATCAACAAACATTTGTTGATTGTTTCCAATGCATTGTACTGGGTTTCCTCACCCAACTTAACCTCTAGGAGAAGAAACAGACAGCAAGAACAGATGGCTAGAATACATGCGTTATTACATAGGTGCCTTAGAGAGTTGCAAAGCAAAATGAGATTAGCAGGGTGAAGACATCACCCACTGGGCAGGAGGAAGCAGGGAAGAATTCATGGAGAATTTTTATGAGCCTTTTAATGGGAATCCAGTATGCCAAGAAAGTGGGGAGGGCCAGCATTTCAGTCATAAGGGTCAGCATAAGCCGAGGCACAGAACTTGGAGGGCAGCAAGGTGTGTTTTGGGAGCAGGGCAGGAGAACAAATGTGTTTGGCTGGAGTGTGGCATGTGTACCAGGAGCATGATGGGAGAATGTGAAAAGTAGGGTGGTGTTAGATTGGAGAGGGCTTTGAATGACTGACCAAGAAGTCTGATTATAATCCTCCCTTAGATACTATTGTGTGGTACTGCTTACCGAGTGCTTAGCAGCCCTGTATGAGAGAGGTGGGGCAGGTATGTTTATTTCCATTTTATAAATAAGGAAAATGAGGCTTAGAGAATGACTTGCTCAGAGTAACATTGTTTGAATGCAGCAGTTTGCACCACATTCCTAATCCAGCATTCCTATTTTCCCTTTTTTCCTATGCTATGGTACTTCATAAAAGAATCTTACCTTCCTCTTCCTACTTCATTTTCTCCTATAGATGAGCATACACTTTTGGTCCGGTCTGTTTGGAGTCTGAGGAAAGTATAGAGTCAGACACCCTGTGAGGCAGCTAAGTGGTTCAGTGGTTAGAGCCCTGGACCTGAAGTCAGGAAGACCTGAATTCAAATCAAATCCATTCTCAGATACTTAAGAGCTGTATGACCCTGGGTAGGTCAACCTTGCCTTGGTTTCCTCTGACTGTAAAATAA